CAGTAGTGCTGAGGAAGGTGCTTTATAGACACGTGGCACAATCTCGTCCCTTTAAATGATGAAAAATTTGTGTAACCTGTCAAGCTAATATACACACTTTTAGTGGGTCCTACCTTTAAGTGACACCTTTAGGTCCGTTAATGGTTAACCGATTTTGGTCGGTGACAGTTGCCGTGTGACGGTTGCCGTTGGTCCAACGCTTCAACTGTAGTTGTAATTAATCAAATAAAATTCTTTTGTAGTTACCTCGGAGAGAAACATATAGAATTAGGTGCACCTTAGTCCAATAAACATTCATTATTTATTCAAAACTATTGAGAGTAACGTGTTGAACGGTATTTTTGTGTTATTGTGTTTAATGCTTTGTGAAAATTATAGTAACTTACATAGTATTACACTAATTGAGCTCAAAATTCGAGTGCCAATTATGCGTTACTAAGTAAAATTACGTGACGAAACGATTAGTGACTTGACATTAAAGGATAATACAATGTGTAAAATTTGTAATGACAATTAAGAGTAAATATAGTTTGATTCGTCTAGCTCTTATGAGAAGCGAATTAAACTAAATATGAGTGGAATTCTACTCATGGACCAAACGAAACCAAAATTGATTGATTTAATTTATCGTGGTTTTAATTCTTTTTATGATTCATAAAAACACAAAGTATATATTCATATGATATAATATAGTACATAATGTTTCTTTTAATCTATTCAATTTTGATTTTTCTTGTTTTTTGATTCAAGTTTATTCTATCATTGTTCTTTAATGAAAATGCTTGACAAATCTTATCGTCCCTTATTTTTCATTAACGTTAACCATTTGATTCAAAAGTTTAATCGTTCATTGTTTTTAATCAAAACCTGATACATGAACAATTTCTTTAAATCGACAGCGTCAACATGGTGAAATATGAGTTTCAAGACATTTCTCTACTTTAAAATCATATCACATGATTAAAGAGTTTAAATTGTTAGATATGATTGCATATTATTATTTAAATGTTGTAGTCAACTTACTCTTGTTTAAGATTGAAAACACTCATTTAATAGTCCATCTTCCCTTCTACTTTTTCTGGTTTTCTCCATCTAGTGTGCTCGATTTTCCTTATTCTACACTAGATGTGAGAAAAATTGTGTTATCTTTCTTCAATATTAATGAAAACGCCTATTTCATGAGACATCAATTAAGACTATACAAGTTTATTATTATTATTATTATTATTTTAAACTTTACTAAAAAATCCAATATTCCTGGATTGAGAAAGATAAGCGAACTATTGTTTACAATATATAATTTCGGGTCAAGTAATCCCAATATAACATGTATTGATCATCGAACTCAACTATAGTTTGAGGTTTCTAATTTTGAGAGTATTCTAAATTTCCGTCTAGAAGATTTCGCCTCTGTTTGTCATCATTTTTTAAAATTTATTTAACTCATTTTCAATTACATATTACATGAAATCAACCATTTATAATAACTTTTTCACCATATATTTCATCAATTTTTATCTAAATTTACTATAAAAAAAAATCTTATTTTCATTTAAACCAAACATCGACTAATTCTAAATTATCTATAAATATATATTATAATATATATGTCAAGACCACCTTCATAATTTTTCTCGTAAATTCTTATAATCAACTACTGATATACGGCACCAATATTTTCAACTTTCTCACTGGACCATTTCGTAATTCTAGAAAAACATTAGGTAGAAAAGTCAGTCAGTTAGCCGTGACTATCGATTCGATGAGTGATGAGTCAGTACTTTTTTCCAACAATTAATTGTGAATATTATCTTTTCCTTATCCCATCTTATCCAAAATAAAATATAGAATTAAGACCAACTAATAAATGTTGAACAAGGTGGTGCTTTATGTCTACGTGGCACAATCTTTTCCCTTAAAAGTTACGCGGAATTAACTGGGAGCCGTAAAGATGTCCCACGTTTCACGTTTGGTTGTCTCGGGACCCACCTCCACCCACTATTGTAACTAACGCGTGTGGGGTCCACTTAATGGGTTACGATTTGGTCGGCGACGGTTGCCAATACCCCGTTTGGCCCCCCAGTCTCTCTCTCTATTATTTTAACTATAAAATCTTTCGTAAAATAATATTATACGTAAATCCAAAATTTCATTTTTTTTCAACCACACATTCTTCAAAAAACTATTGAATTTGACAGTACTTGAACGAATTTTACATTTACAAGAGAAGTCCAAGAAATAGATTTTAATTAGGTCTCTTTTATGCATCTGTTAAGAAAATTAACAACTTTTTACATGACTATTTACGACCTCAATGTGTAGGGTTAAAAATATTGATTTGGTAGCAACATTATCAAAGTCACATTTGAACTTAATAAATTGAAATGATAAAATTTGGAAAACCATTGAAGTTGAGAGATTAGATTGCAATTTTATTTAACATCGAGTGGAACCCCGACAAAATAGTACGTGGATCTAACCATAGAGAATTCACATGAAGAAAGGTGAGGAACATAGTTAGATAGAGTGCCAAAATGAACGGTTAAGCTCCAAATAATCCATCAATAGCCTTAACTGGCGCGACTTGTAGCCACATCGAGATTGACCCCTTATGTTTAACAGTCTAGGCCAGTACGGACTATTAAAATTTTTAGCGTACTCAAACCACATGCATTGGTCAGTCCGAAAAGCATGTCGATCCTTCTCGAATTGAATTGAACCGTATTTTGTGTCTACTAGTCAACGTTGATCGTGCAACACACGTTATTATGAAGTGTTTTAAAAGTGCTATAAAATTAATATTTGAATATGTATGAATGTTAATTAATTTAGAATCAATATCGAGGAATATATACGTGACAATGAATATTAAATCATTTATTTAATTTCTAATTAAGTAAAACTGGATGTTAATTAGCATATATTGACGTGAATAATGAACTGCACTTGAAATTCTAATTAACTTAGAATTAATGAAATTAAAATACATTAATGAAGATTGAATACTAATTAAATGAACGTGAATGTTAATTAATTGAGAATTAAAAATTGATAATTCATACATTAATGAAAGTATACATGTAAAATGGATGTGTCAAATATACTTGTACATTGATGGCAACTAAATAATTAAATAAATAAAATACGTATTAAAAAATAAAAAGTAACGTATTATTGAAATAATTTATTATAGAAAGCTAGAATCATCCAAAAAAAAGATTCACACCTGACGTGATATTTACGAAATGCTTTATAAGTACTATAGAAGTAATATTTGAATATGCGTGAATGTTAATTAATTTTTAATTAATATCATGGAACATATTTATGTGTGACAATAAATGTTAAATCATTTATTTATTTACTAACTAAGTAAAACTGGATGTTAATTAGCATATATTGACCTGAATAATGAAATGCACTTGAAATTCTAATTAACTTATAAGTAATGAAATTGAAATGCATTAATGAAGATGAATACTAATTAAATGAATGTGAATGTTAATTAGTTGAGAATTAAAAATTGATAATTCATACATCAATGAAAGTGTACATGTGATATGAATCTGTCAAGAATACGTGTACATTGATGGTAACTAAACAATTAAATAAATTAAATATATGTTGAAAAATGAAAAGTGAGGCATTATTGAAATAATTGTTCATAACAAGTTAAAATCATCAAATAAATTATTCTCACTTGATGTGATATTTATTAAATGCTTTACAAGTACTATAAAAAAAACTGAATGTTAATTAGCATATATTGACGTGAATGATGAAATGCACTTGAAATTCTAATTAAGTTTTAATTAATGAAATTGAAATACATTAATGAGGATAAATATTAATAAAGCCCCCGGTACCCATTTTTTTCAAAATGCATTTTTTTCTCTCTTCTTTTTATCCACACATTTTTTATTAAAATAATATTATAGGTAAATAAAAAACTTTCCCTTATTTTTCAATCACATACTTCCCATCAAGTTACTATTCTAAAATGCACTTTTACCTAAAAATGGCAATTAAACACCCCCTAAATGAATGTTAATTGAGAATTAAATATACATGTACATTAATGGTAACTAAATAATTAAGCCTCCATTTGTCCTCATTAAATTACATTTTTTTCTCTTCTATTTTCAACTACATAATCTTTTATAAAATAATATTATACGTAAATCGAAAAAATTTCCTTCCTTTTTAACCACTCATTTTTTAAAAAAAAAATACTATTCCCCTCATTTTCATTTCACAAAATGGGGAACAAACGGGGCTAAATAAATTAAATACATAGTAAAAAAAAAAAAAAAGGTATTATTGAAATAATTGAATTACAGTAAGACTATAATTAGTTAAAAAATAATTCTCACTTGATGTGATATTTAATATATTATATATTTATTAAATTGCAAAAAAATAAAAAAAATTCAAATGCAATTATTTAGTGGATAAACATTCAAAGAAAATTATTGTTTGAAGAGTTTCAAGGCAAAATTTGAAACTCCAAGGCGGAATGAACCCAAACTTCTTTCCCTCAATGAATTTAATTTAGTCAAATCCAAAGTCAGAATCGACCCGTTGATTAAGGCAAGATATGTGATTAAAAATAAAAAAAAAATATGAATCCCAAAAAATAAATTTTAAATTTAATTAAAATATTTATCAAAATTTAAAGCAAATCTGAGGCTAAACTTTATATAATTTATTATACTTTTCGTTACAAATAGAACGAAAGAGCAACGGGGCGGTGGCTTGACATTCATCTGAAAGGATAAAACTGTCCAACACGGAAAATTTTGTCTGGAAATATCGTGGCATGTTTTAGATGCACCGCCCAACAATCTCATCGTACGACGACGTTTCTTCCTAATTCACACCTCTTAAATACTCGCCCTCATTGGATTCATCCACGTGGCAACCTATCATTTTATCTAGTATTTTTTTTTTTTAATTCTTTTAAATCATCGCCAACTTTCTATATAAACGTAGCCACACCTTACCAACAATCAGCAAAACTGATCATACCTATCATCCTCTCTAAATTTCCAATACTTTCACTGCAAACTTGTTTACTCTCTTAGTTTTTAACGCCAAAAATGGCTCCCAATAACCATGCAGATGCAGCATCCCGTGGTCTAGTTAAGGCCGCCAGTTTGTCTAGCCGAGCCTATGTCACTTTCTTGGCAGGCGACGGCGACTATGTGAAAGGAGTCGTGGGCTTGGCAAAGGGATTGAGGAAAGTGAACGCTGCGTACCCACTTGTGGTGGCTGTTCTGCCGGACGTCCCAGAGGAGCACCGCAGCATATTGGTTAACCAGGGATGCATAGTGCGTGATATTGAACCGGTTTATCCTCCTGAGAACCAGACCCAGTTCGCCATGGCGTATTATGTCATCAACTACTCCAAGCTTCGGATTTGGGAGGTAATAATCCTGCATATTTTCAAGAATCAAATGATTATATATAATGCATGCACAGAAAACGTATGATGTTATGCTCAATTGAATTTGTTTCTTAATGCAGTTTGTGGAGTACAGCAAGATGATATACTTGGATGGAGACATACAGGTTTTTGACAACATAGATCACCTCTTTGATTTGCCAAATGAGTATTTCTATGCTGTGATGGACTGTTTTTGTGAGAAGACATGGAGTCACACCCCACAATTCAAGATTGGGTATTGCCAACAGTGCCCGGATAAGGTCCATTGGCCTCAAGAATTGGGTCCTAATCCTCCTCTCTATTTCAATGCTGGGATGTTTGTCTTTGAACCAAGCCTCCCCACCTACCATGATCTCTTGCACAAACTCAAAATCACAACTCCGACTTCATTTGCTGAGCAGGTAAAACAACACAGTCATTTAATCAGAAAATTCTATGACAAGTAGTTGTATGAAATGAAATTTGAAGTGTACTAAATGTCACATTTGCAGGATTTCTTGAACATGTTCTTCAGGGATATTTACAAGCCAATTCCCAATAATTACAACTTGGTTTTGGCAATGCTGTGGCGCCATCCCGAGAACGTGAAGCTCGATGAAGTTAAGGTGGTCCACTACTGTGCTGCAGGCTCCAAGCCATGGAGGTATACTGGCGAAGAAGAAAACATGGACAGAGAAGACATCAAGATGCTAGTCAACAAGTGGAAGGACATTTATGACGATGAGACATTGGATTACAATGCGGATCCGGGCGCTAATACTATGTCTGGGCGTAGAGAAGCTGGCGTTGTTCGTTACATCTCTGCCCCTTCGGCCGCCTAGCTCGGTCATCTTGGTCACAGAGTAGTTTGATCGGCTCGAGTTTTATATGAAGCTGGTCCTCCAGAAGCAGAGGACGAATTTCTTATATATTTCCCTGTTTTTTTTTTTAAGGGTAACAATTTCTTAAGGTTCTTGATAGCCTGGATGATGGCTTTGTAAACATTTAAAGAACATATGTATTACATAATGTTAATGTTACTATATATGTTCATTAAAACTGTTTTAAGCTTCAAAAATGTCCGATTGTACCAAATCTATAATTTGCCATTCCTTGTTTCGCACAACATTAGTTCTTCCCTTTGTTAATTAAATCCAACCTGTTCCACCACTATATCATTAAAAAAAAAAAAAAAAAAAAAAGGAGGTTGAACCCCAATCTTAGGGTTCCCCACCACTCCTGTCCTGTAGCATTATGAGGGAGGTAAATTGCAGGTTATGCCTCCAAGAGTATAGGGTGGAAGACTGCTTGTACACTTGCACTTACCCAAAAGCAAAATTCATATTTCAGAATTCGAACCCTTTACGTGGCAGTTTCAAGCAAAGTTGGATTTCTTGCTCCTACTAAAGATGGTAATGAGCCGAGCCGAGCTTAACTCACGAGCTCGGCTCCAACTCATGGGGGGGGGGGGGGGGGGGGGGGCAAGCTCGAGGTTTGTGAGAAACGAGCTGAGCGCTCGGCTTGTTGCTCGGGGGTGAGCTGCGAGCCGAGCTGAATCCACGACCACTTCGTGAGCTCTTGATTTTTAATTTTAATTTAATTATTTTTTTTTATTTTTTATTATTTATTTTTGCTCATTTTTTGACGAGCCCACGCGTTTGGGGGCTCGTGAACTTTGGCTGGTGGGCAGATGGCCCACGAGCCACTAGCAGGCTCGGCTCGGCTCGACTTGACTGGTGGGATTGAGCCCCCTGCTCAATGACGAGCTCGAGCCACTTGTCCAATTTGACATCCCTACTACTGTATCATATTGTTGTTTACCAAATAATTCTTTTTAATACTTGAACTTGGTTTACAACGAAATCCACAATTTGAGTACCTCTATAACATAAACCTCAACGGAAAATTGAAGAGTAACTGCAGCAAGTAATTGAGTTCAGTAGTTCCTTGTATAATGTGTTGTGACATTACAGATTCAAGGATTTAAGCCCTTATGCGTGCTTACGAGTCCATGCTTGTGCTTCGTATTAGATTTACATATCATACTAATAATATGTCAAAGATCGGTAGCCATAAAATATTTGCAGATGGCATTCTTCCAAAATTGTACTTAAATATATTGTGTCATATATCGCTCTTCATTGCTCTTAATTGTTCGAACAAAAACAAACGCTCGATTCACAACATGATGCATTAATTAGTAAAGAGCTAGATGAAGAATCATTCTCCCAAGTTTTCTCTGTTAAATGAACAACTTCCCAAGGTGGAGAAGTTAGTAAATGGAACATAAAAAGAAAGAATTGCATCCCACAGAGTGAGATTGTCCTTGTGCTAAACAGGATCTGTTATATTGATGAGCAATTCATCTTCCCAGAAATGCAACCCAGTCATTCCAAATTTATTCTATACACACAATTCAAAAACCATTCATACAACATAAATCATTTCAAACACGTTTCAAATCAATATGACATAATTCAATGTACAAAATTCAAAAATCATTCATAAACATAAATCGGAGATAATAAAAACACATTATAAATGGAATCCAAACTCATTTTCTATATCATTTTGAATTTTGGTCAAAGAAAATAAAATTTTGAAATTATTAAAGACTGTAGTCGACCTATCGATTACCTAATATTAAATGTTATGGGACTGCATATATAATCTCTAGATATGGATAAAAGAATGGAATAGCCAAGCAGAATGTCATTCCATCTTCCAAGAAAATAACAATAACCTTGCTTGTACCTATGCTCATGCACTAGGTGCAATTTTTTTTAGTCCATTGAACATTTTTATCTATTTTTGCCTAGGATTATTCTATTTGTACAAAACCATGTACAACATGGTCAAGTGTCAGCCCCCTATTAGAGGGGCGGCTATGGGCATCATTTTGTACTTCCAGCATGGTTCTTTTACCTATCCTTAGCTGTGTTTTAACATAGTGTTCATTAAATTGTGAAAGCTCCCTATCAAATCATATGCTGTCAAAGTTAATTGAGCTATGCAAAATCAAAAGTTCGCTAGAAAATGAGAAAGACTCGACAACACAAAGAAAATAAAATTTGTTCAAAGATTCTCTGAACAACATAAGAAATAATGCCCAATATCAGTCTTTTTAATACTCCAATCATTTTTTCATTTCCTCCAAACTATTAATTTGATTTTTCTATTTTACCTCAATTGTGATTTTCCCTATAATGGAATGCTTGTCTCTTTCGACCACCAACACTGAATAGCTCTCGTCCTTTCCAAGTTGAAACTACATTTCCTAACAAAATTTTAAGAAAACCTAAAATAGAAACAAATCCAGAACTTCTATAATCCAAATTATCTCGTCATTAGCCGAATGAACAATAACATTAAGCTTTTCAATATCATAGCTATCTCCGAACTTTGATAAAAATATATCACAAAAGCTTCTTTAACAATTGCAGAATCCTCACCATTGTTACTAAAAACAAGTGACAACCGCCAACGTTTGATCGTCGAAACTGAACTAGAAGGCAATGGCCAAATATATGGAATTTTATCCTTCTATATGATTTTCACCAAAAATAAAATAAAATGGAGAATTCAAAAAATTGGTGGGTCATGTGACCCAACATGCCGCACCCTCCTTCCGCTACTGCTTATCTCCTACACAAATTTCACATTTTTTACCACTCTACATTGTATCTAATTAAAAAAAAAAAAATTGTCGAACAATTTTTTTGGTAAAGCAAAATGGAATTAAGTCCCTCATTTGACCCCTATTAATTTTCATTCCATTACATTTTATTTTCCTCTATCCTATTTTCAACTACATAATCTTCCATAAAATAACATTACACGTAAATTGAAAAAATTTCTTTCTTTTTCAACCACTCTTTTTTCAAAAAAACACTATTTCTCCCATTTTCATTTTCACAAAATGGGGGCCAAACGGGGGCTTAAATCACTATATGTACACGTTTCCCTCTTCTTGACTATAAATGAGGAGACACTAATGCAATTTGCTGGTTGCCTCTTTGTGTTAGAGTGCCTTTGATTAGCTCTATTTTGCATTGAAAATGA